ATTAACTTTAAAATGTAAACACCGAAATATTTTAAAGTTTAAATTATTAGAAAGAAGTTTATTTAAAAATCGTCAATGGAAACTGTAAAACAAAATGTAGCACAGCCTTACCTATTTTAGTCCAAATATTTTTATTAGTAGAGTATGTATCAAATGTCTACCTTGAAATGCTTTTAACTTGTATTGATTGTTGTCCTATTTGCAAATGTGATATTTAATATTAAAATTTGGAAAATAACTAAAAACTTAAAAGCTCAATAACAACTGTCAATATTTTGAATTATTTCCTTCAAATCACCTGCCCATCTGGTTAGCTATCTGTTTTTATCTTTATATAAAATTAGGATAATACTAAATGTATTTTTAAACTTCCTTTTTTAGTATCAAAATTCATGAGACATTAAAGTACAATTTTAATTTTTTTTAAATAAAGACTTTTAAATATATGTTCTCTTTTGAAAAGAGTGAAGCACATGCCAAGTTGAGTCAGGAAGAGAAATGTCAGTGCAATCTGTGGCAGCTGCTCGCTTCCCTGGGAAGGAAGGGGCTGCTTAGGAGTACAGTAGCTAGCAAACCCCTCAGCGCTCCACAAAGTCACTAGTGGGAAAAGAACAAAGGCCTTTCCAATGCAACTAACACAGATGCGCCCAAAGGCAAACTGTCAGAAACAGTTAAGATGACAGCTACTCACAGTTCATTATTTCCTTCTCACAGGTCACTGGGTGACAAGCTGGGTCAGCATGCTTTGTTGGCTGTCCTGGTCTTTCCCCATCCCCTATTCAATTTAAATAAGGATAAGGAGCTCCTTTGGATAAACTAACATAAACAAACACATTCCAGACACTTAAAGATACCAAAATATGGCATTTGTTTTACTTTGGATCAAATTTAGAATTAAATGTACATACTACTTTTTTTAACCAAGCAAGGAGAGAACCATATTTCTATACTGCACTGATAGAGGGAGCAAAGATATCTTGCTAAAGCAAACGAGAAAATATAACCTACCATGAACTAAGATCCTTACATATAAGATCTCATATAGTAAGATATTTTCCTTTTTCTTCAATGGGAAAAAGAATTAGTTCATGTTATTTAAAAAAACAAAAAGGATCAACAATTAGATTGCTTTCCACAAGTGTTTGAATTGTAAATTAAATAAAATAATTCTGTAAGTGGAAGAGTATGGTTTTCAGCGATTGTTTTAGATTGTGTGTGTGTGTGTGTGTGTTTAAGGATGAAATTCAAAACAACACACCAATCAAAGTGACAATAGTCTAATCAACTCTTTTATGATATACTACACATAAAATTTTAGTAATGGCTTTGATTTTTATCTTTTGGCTACTCAATCTGATATGCCATTCTGTTATGAAATTACAAAATAAAAACTACAAGGAAAGAGAATAGTCTATAGATCTGCATAGGCCTGTGTTCAAATCCTATCTCCCCCATTAGCCAGCTGTATAACTGGGTACATTATGTAACTACTCTGAGACTCAGTTTCCATATCTTTCTTGATTATAAAAGTACCTTCCCCATCAGATTATGATAACAGCAAGTAAATCAATCTATCATGTTGTTACAAGTATAAGTACTTAGAATAGCAGTTGGCACATGGAAAGTACTCAACAAACGACAGCTATTACTTTCCTGTCAACAAATTTAGTAGATAAAGCTGAAGTGAACCACCAAAGTGTGAAATACTTTAGCTAATCATGACAAGCTACAATCACATTATTAGAAAGGAACCTTTAAAAATCTCTAACCTATTCAAGGGCAAGCCTCTGAAAATAAGTTAAGTCTAGACTGCACATCTGGACACCTGGATGAAACAAGAAATCAATGGTTCACAATTTCCCTTAATATTTTTTATCTCTTAGCCTTCACTAAAAACTGAATATATTAATGTATCTTCTATTTTTTCCCTTTCTAAACTGTTCTTCCCTATTTAAAGGTTCCCTTTCCAAGATATCCTGTTAAAATAATAGTTTCCATTGGAAAGGCTGAAGATTTGATATAATAGCTAAGATAAAAACATGAATGGTCAGGAAGTACACTATGGAGGTTATGAACAAGACTTTGGGCTCAGATGGCCCTGCCTTATTTACTAGCTGGGAAACCTTAGCCAAGTAATTTAATCTCTCTGTGCCTTGTTTCCTCATCAGGAAAACAAAAATGATTCCTGTTTTACTTACCTCATAAGGTTATTAGGAAATAATGCACTTAAAGCACTTAAGCAAAATCTAAATGTTAGCCGTTATGATTTATAATTTAATGTTATCTTTAATTTTCACTTATTACTTGCCACTAACTACAATCTCTCAGTCTTTTCTCAAATTTGGCTACTTATGGTTCTCTCTTTCCTTGGCTATGTCTAAGGAAGCACACAAATTTATATATCTCTACATATTTTAATTCTTTACAATTATATATTCTTTCTTCAGATTGTATACTCGTGTTTTCCCTGATGTTCTAGAATTCTATTCTTTTTCCAGTTTTCACAATCCTGATGATTTCACGTTATCCTTTTAATTTGTGCAGTGACTTTATTCTTTATTTTATAGAATTATCATTGATAAAAGCAAGAAAATATAAAGCCCTCTCTTGAAGCTGAATAATATAACGCACTGATTCTCTTACATTTGGAAGGCATGTAAACCTAACAAAACAACCTAAGGTTCAAAGCAATCAATACGCCAAATTCAGTACCATGTTCTAATTTTGCTCCATAATTCCTTCCAAAATGAGAGAAAACTGATTGCTCTAGTATTTACTCTTTACTCAAACTAACTCTGTTAAGGAACAGAGAGGGAAAAGAAACTGAAATTTCATCTACTGTGGTAAATTGTGGGGGTGGAGGTAAGAGAACGTAGATAAATCCCTGTGGCCTTAAGGAAAAAAAAAAAAGGAAGAAGAAGAAAAAGGCAGAAAGAATTGCTGGAACCTAAAACGTAAGCNAGAGAGGGAAAAGAAACTGAAATTTCATCTACTGTGGTAAATTGTGGGGGTGGAGGGAAGAGAACGTAGATAAATCCCTGTGGCCTTAAGGAAAAAAAAAAAAAGGAAGAAGAAGAAAAAGGCAGAAAGAATTGCTGGAACCTAAAACGTAAGCCCTGAGAAATGCTCACTAAGAAAAGGGCCCTGGGCAATTCCTTATGATATAAAAATCGCAACTATATTTACCAGTAAGTTCCTCCTGATTAAAATACAAATTTAAATATAAACCCCATTAAGAATTCTTTCCTACCTCTACTTGTTTTCAGAACATTTTCACAACTACCACTGTGTGTTTATTATGTTCCTGGAAATTTAAAGACATCTCATTTAATTCTAACAACTTAAACAGATATTGCGGTATGTTTGTTAGCTGATATTAACTGCCTTTTTTTTTTCTTGGCCTCACTTTTCCTAATGCTATATGCCTTTCTCCCTAGGTTCAGTTATCAGATTGTAATGCCTCAGAGAAGACACAACAACAGAATGCAGAAGCCAAATCCATAAACTACCCAACGCCCTCGACCCTTGGAAAAAATATTTCCAAGCTGGGGAACGAAGCAATCATAGGGGAGCAGGTGAGTTATCACTAGGGCCAGCTTCAGCATGGGGCAAACACAGAAACCCCAGATAGGTTTTGGGAATCTGAGAGCAGAAGTAACCTGTGCCTGTCTCCTGAGTAGAGCCCAGGATAAGGATGAAAGCCTAGGATAATGACGACAGCCCAGGATAATGACACACCCCACTGTTCTCTCAAAAAGGGTGGAGTAGAAACGGCTGCTGAGTAAGTCTAGGAAGTAGGCCAACAGCCCCAGTGTTCCTTGAATTCCTGTTTTAGATGAAAACCTTAGACAAAGACTGCTCCTAAGGGATTTAATATTCTAGCGAGGTGAGAATAACAGAGTGTTCTGTGGAGAGTGGCCTGGTTATAGGGCTGTGGCTTTGTGAGTATGTTGTGGAGCATCAGAATTGAGAACCTTGCATATGATTAAAAAATAAGCATCAGGGAAAAGAAGAACTGGAACCTAAGTTTTCATATCATTCAGAACACCCCCATACTATGATATAGTAAGGTACTAAATTTGTTATCCTGTTTGTGTTCTATCTTCAAAACAACAAACACAAAGTTTTTGAGGCTTAAATAATAAATTAAAGTGATAATAAGTTGAAGAGTCACTTTTGCTATTTATCAGGAATTAAATGTTCCCCTCCTGTCTAAATCCCAGGTGGGAATATATAATTTAAGAATACAAAATAGCTTTTAATTGCAATAAAAAGTTGTCAAGATTTTTTTTCCTTTTTTCATGCAAGTGACATTTCTAGCTACAGTTAGTATATTTAAATTTAGGAATTCCCTTAAACCTGAGCGAGTATGATAAAAATTGTATTACTCCTTTAAGAGTAATTCAGCCAACAGTAATTTCAATTATAGATTAAAATTGCAGTTTATGAAGTCATTTTGTGATTTACAACATCAAACCAACAAAATTAAATAAGGACGATCAGAGAGATAGTTTCCCTTTTGCAAAATTACTGATGTAACTTTTATTCTAGTAATGGAAATGGGGTTGATTTGTTGAGCTATCACTACTTAAGACCATCTATTGAGCACTTACCCTCAGGTCCAAACTTAATGTTCTACTCATGGGAAAGAAAAAGGATTGCTTGTGGGTATGGCCTTCCTAAAGATCTCTTAGAATTCATTAGATATATATGCACAGTACTGCCTTAGCTAAATTATGCTACTTCAGAGTATTTTAGTGAAATCCCATGACAGCAACCCATCCTAAGCATACTTATAAACAAGAACATACATCTATCTGTAACAAAATACACATAAATGTCACCTCTCTTCATCAAATGTGATCCGAAAACTACTACGCTTGAAAGCCAAAGGGCTTTTGAGATATTTCAATAATCTTCAGGAAATCAATCTTACATGAAACTGAAGGAAAACATCGAATGTCATTGAGCAATAAAGCTCAGTTATGTCAGTGCCCTACCTCTGAGCAGAAGCCTTAGGATGTTTCTCTTCCAGTTTCCTCACCAGTGCCACTGTCAGCTGCCTTGTCTCCTCAAGAGAACCTTCTGGCATTAAATGGGTGTCTGAGGGTTCTGGCAGTTGCTTCAGACTAGGGTTACTGGCACTTTTTTGCAGGACCTAATAAATAAAATATAGGAATAATGTAGTTAATTTTCATTGAGTGGAAATATCTAAACTATGTATGCCAAAATTACATTACAAAGTAACATTGTACTTTTCATGCTTCCTTCAGTCTTCATAGGGCACATAAATCATTTGTACATGGCCAGAACAAAAGAAGGTAGTTCTAAGAAAAAGCTAGTGTATCACCATCTATTTAATAAAATAATGTTTCTATAAATATGCATATATGTTTATATAAATATAAATGTGCACAAAGATATTATATTGTTTTTGAATTTAAATAATCGGTAATATTAAGATGTGAATTTGTGCTTGCCTCCCCAAAAAACTTGAACATTTTTTCTCTATTCAAAATATATTTTAGAGATCTATCTCTGTCTTGCTTCTGGCTCACTACACTGACCTCTTCTGCTATGCTTCTGCCATATTCCTGATGAGCTGTGATCCAGGTGCCATGGTGAATGTGATACTCTGCCTGGGTCACATCCACTTGTGCATTTAGCTCCTGTAGGTAGGTCAGAACAAACTGAGGATAAGCCTGTAAGAAAGGAAAAATAAAAAGTAGTACTGGCCTCATAAGTAAGAGCCAACAATCTATCCAACTAGAAAGAGGAAAGGATAAATCAGATTAATAATAAAAGGTCTGGCTAATAAACTTTTCATTTAACTATCAATTTCAGATCAAAATCAAGCCAAGTTACTTTAATATTAAAATTTGCAATTGTTGTTTAATCTGATCAACTTCCGCTAGATAGCTAATATTCACCCTTAAATAAGATTAAAATAGTAAAGCAATCTTATATATTAATACTAGCAGCTAACATTTATTGAGTTATTTCTACATACAAGATACTACTGTAAACACAATAAATGTATGTAATGTGTAGTTACTGTGTTGTTTGGGAGTATTCAATTCTGCTCTAGAAGACAAGAAAACAAATGGGATGGATGAAACAGCTGCATTAAGCATAGATAAGGTAATAATCTGAAAAGTATCAGACACAGAGTAAGTAGAGCATATGTCTGTGAACATAGATAGAAAAGGATATAAAGACAAAATAGACATTTAATGTTCATGATTTAGTAAATAACAAAGCAACAAATATTTATGATATACTAAATATAAGTGAAGTATACAAGGCACACAATAAACATGAGGTCTTTAGTTAACAACCTATTGCTGACTCTCATTTGGAATCCTCTGCTAAATAAATTCCATAGCTGTTCATCAGGCTAACTGGGGAGCTCAGCTATCAGTCAAGTGTATTTGCACATCAGCTCTCATGGAACAAGTATGTGTCATTGCCCCAGGCACGTTTAATTGTTGGGCCCTTGCTTAAATTTCAGTTCTGGTCCTTGTAGCCACATCATCAGCAGGGAAAGGTGATGGAGCATAGACAGACGATATGTAAATATTGGGGGACAAGATACAGGTGATAATGGCTCTTCAACCTACTTGTACCTTATCTTAAATGTGTTAACCTAGCCCATCTCTCTCATATATTTTGCTTTGTGTTTTAAATTGATTTGATAAATCATGATCTGAGCATTTTAATTTGGTCTGTTCACCTTTCTGTTCCAGGTAGGATATCTTACCTGGTAGTATACTTGTATCAAAGTAATCTCCCACATGACAATATATTTACATTTTAATTGCATCAGTCTTTTGAAATAGGTTATTTATTGATGCCCATTCTAAAGAGAAGGAATCAGACACAGGGAAGTTAAGCAACATGCTCACTGTCATCCACCTTGTATACTAGTCCAGGAAGCCTAGATATACTGCCTCAATTATGATACAAACTCCTTGCTGCATTTTTTTAAATGTAGAACTAAAGTTCTAAAAAAAAAAATACGAGAGGGTGTTCAGCAGATAATTAAAGGGCACAAAATTCCTTATACTGTTCTGAAGAAAGAGATACTGAATAACTTTGAACTTTGTTAAAAAATATATTAGTAAAAATACATATTAAAAACGTAAGGCACTCCAGAAACTTAAATGCATATTACTAAATGTGAGAAGTAAATCTGAAAAGGCTACATATTGTATGATTTCTACTATATGGCATTCTGGAAAAGGCAAAGCTATGCAGAAAGTAAATAGATCAGTGGTTGCCAGGGCTGGCGAAAGGGGAAGGAGTGAATAGGTGTAGCACGGAGAATTTTTAGGGCAGTTAAACTATTCCATAAGATACTATAATGATGGATTCATGTCATTATACATTTGTTCAAACCCATAGAATGTACGACACCAAGGGAGAACCCTAATGTAAAACTATGGGCTTTTAGTGAAAAGAATGTGTCACTGTTGGTTCATTTGTAACAAATGTATCACTCTGGTGAAGGACATAGATAGCGGGAGAGGCTGTGAATTAGTGGGGGCAGAGGGTATATGATAACTGCCTGTACTTTATGCTAAATTTTGCTGTAAACCTAAAAGTGCTCTAAAGAAATAAAGTGTTTTTTTAATGTAAGGGATTCCATCAAAAGCACAAGTGACAAAAGAAAAATAGATATATTGTCCTACATCAAAATTTAAAACTTTTGTGCTGCAAACCATGCCATCAAGAAAATGAAAAGAAAACCTACAAAATGAGAGCAAATATTTTCAAATCACTTCTCTGATAAGGGATATGTATCCAAAATATATAAAGAACTCTATACTCAATAATAAAAAGACATCCCAATTAAAACATGAGCAAAGGAACTGAGTACACATTTCTCCAAAGAAGATATACATGTGGCTAACAAATACAAGAAAAGATGTTCAACATCACTAGCCATTGGGAAAATACACATCAAAACCTCAATGAGATAACACTTTACACCCACTAGGATAGCTATAAACAAAATGGCAGAGAATAACAAGAACTGGCAAGAATGTGGAGAAGTTGGAATTCTCATATATTGACAGAAAGATTGTGAAATGGCACAGCCACTTTAGAAAATAGTTTGGGGGCCGAGCCCGTGGCGCACTCGGGAGACCGGTGCACTCACAGCGCTCACTGGCTGAGCGTGGTGCGGCCGGTCTCAAAAAGGACAAAAAAAAAAAAGAAAATAGTTTGGCTATTTCTTATAGTGTTAAACATGGAGTCACCATGTGACTCAGCAATTCCACTCCTATTTATATATCTATGAGAAAACATACATCCATACACAAATGCCTATACCAATGTTCATACCAGGGTTATTTATAACATCCAAAATAGTGGAAACAAATAAACTGTCAATCAAATGATAAATGGATAAATAAATGTGATATTTCCATACGATGGAATATTACTTGGCAATAAAAAAATGAATTACTATTACATGCTACAATAATCAATCACAATATTCCACATATTATATGTTTCCATTTATATGAAATGTCAAGAATATGCAAATCTACAAAGACAAATAGGGCTTGGGGGATGCAGATAGAATGGAAGGGATAGGTGTGAAGTATGAGGTGTCTTTTGGGGAGGACAAAAATGTTTTAGAATTAGAGCAAGGTGATTGATGGACAGCACTGTGAATATACTGAAAAATATTGAATGGTACAATTTAAATGGGTAAATTGTATGAGATGTAAATTATATTTCGATATCTCTATTTTTAAATGTTAGGCATTAAAATTAAAATTTTTTAACATGAGGTATTTTTCAAATCGGCATAGCTTTCTTTCCTATTTCTCTCTCTGTTTCTCTCTTTGTTTCTTTCTTTCGGCAGCTGGCTGGTACAGGTATCAAACCCTGGACCTTAGTGTTATCAGCACCATGCTCTACATACTTTAACCAGCTGAGCCAACTGGCCATCCGTAAAGTACAGACTTAAACCAGCAGAGGAAAAGAAAGAATGGATCCCGAAAAAGCCATGAAGAGAGAAAAAGGATACATATTAAAAGCATGGTAGGGTAGACTAGAGGTGCCTAACATGCAATCCTCCCACAGAAAGGTACCAGAGCAAGAAATAGACAGCTAAGTGCAGGGAAGAGCATCAATGGGAGGGTGTGAAAGGGCAGCAGGATCCTGTTGAGGACCCTATGGGTCACAAAAACCAAGCAGGGTGATATAGAAAGAAGAAAGAAGCACATGGCTTCAGCCACTGCCACATTTCCTACACCAGGATCAGTGCAAGTGGAATTCTCCCTTGCAGCAAAAGTAAATCTTCTCAGACATGAGAACTTCCCACTGGTAACCTTTCTCTTGCTCATGCCCCAGCCCGTCCCCACCACACTGCAGTCACCTATGCCATTGTGTAGTCTTGGAACCATGGCCTTTCTCTCTGCACTGGAGTTCATCCTGCACAGCACACCCCAACACATGGTCCCAACCGACTGCATGGGCCTGGCTATCCAGCCACCTGAGCAGCCCCGGTTGCCCAGCCACCCACACAGCTCAGTCACAGACAGAGTTGCCAGCACCCCCAGACCTCCTGAGTCTACCCACAACTGCTGAGTCTACCTGGAACAACTGAGTCTACACAGAACTACTGAGAGTACTGAGTCTACCCAGAACCAAAACTATAACACCCAACCCAATGGGCAATATAAAACAAATCTACTGGAGGGAGTCTCTCTCCTCAAAGCCATCTCAGAGTAATAGAAGAAGCAATTGCTCCACAAGATGACCAGACATCAATGTAGAGACACTACAAATATGAAAAAACAAGAAAACATGATGCCACAAAAGGAATAAAATAATTCTCAAATTCCAGACCCCAAACAACAGGAAATCCTTGAAATGTCTGAAAAGGAATTCCAAGCAACCATCTTAAAGAAGTACAGTGAGATACAAGAAGACTCAGATAGGCAACACAACAAAATGAGAAAAATAATCCAGGACCTGCACGAGGAAATTTACAAAGAGATAAACGCCATAAAAAAAGAAAGTAGCAGAACTCCTGGAACCAAAAAACTCATTGAACAGAATAAAAACTACAATCTGAGAACTTGGGCAGCAGGCTAGAACAAGCAGAAAAAAGAATTTCTGATCTCAAAGACAGTCTTTTCAAAATAACCCAAGTGACAAAAAAGAATAAAGAATCAAAAACAATGAAGAAAATCTTCGAGAGCTATCAGAACATCTTAGGCACACAAACATCTGAATCATGAGTGTTCCAGAAAGGGAGGAGAAAGAAAAAGACATCGAAAACATATTCAATGAAATAATAGCAGAAAGTTTTCCAGGTATTCGTAGAGATATGAACTTCCAGATCCAAGAGGCTCAAAGATCCCCAAAGATCCCCAAACAGATTCAATCCAGAAAGGTCTTCTCTAGGGCACACTGAAGTCAAACTGTCAAAAGTCAGAAACAAAGGCAGAATCCTAAAAACAGCAAGAGAAAAAAGTCAAGCCACCTATAAGGGAGTCCCCATCAAACTAACAGCAGACTTCTCAGCAGAAATTCTACATGCCAGAAGAGAATGGGGTGATATATTCAAAGTACTAAAAGAAAAAAACTGCCTGCCAAGAATACTGTAACCAGCAAGGCTAT